GGGCTGTATCTCTCCAACCCCTTATCAGAAAAAGAAAAGAAAAACACTTTTGGAAATGGCAGGAGACCAGCTATCTCGCCAGATTCCGAGATAGCTGGAAAAAAAGAAAAAGAAAAAGAAAATAGGGCAGTTAAAAAAACTGCCCCACACTAAGGCTGTGGTTGTGGTGCGGCCACGGTCAGCCCTGGATGTTGGCAAATCAATGGCTCACGGGCTCAATTTTGCCTAGGGGCTGGAGTGACGTTTAGCATCTCCTCAGCCACTATAAAGAAGCCAGCTGCCCCAGCTGCCACACAAAGCATTCGTGTTGTCATTGTGTGATGTGCACTTGAGTGCTGCAAGGCTGCTGAGGTGCTGCCTGAGGCAAGGACGAGGAGCTGGAGATCTGCAGCGGAGCGCGAGGAGGAAGACTGGGCAGCCATAGCTAAGGCAGGGAGCACTCTGCTCCTCTCCCCTGTGGCTGGTGCTGGTCCCACGGGACAGACCCAGTGGTACTGCGAGACTGTTGCAGTGCGGGGCTGTGAGATTTGGGCCTGCGGCCCAACTTTTACCAGTTTTGGCCTGTCATTTTCTCACTACGGTGGGGAAGTGCTGTCGAAAGTTTACAGCGACAATCCAGGTTTTTACTGTGGTGGTATCGAGGTGCTGCCGAATTTCTACGGCGACGGCACAGGTTTTTTACTGAGGTGGTATCGAAGTGCTGCCGAATTTTTGCAGCGGCGGCATAAGCTTTTACGGTGGCGATTCAGGTTTTCTCGGCGGTAGTGGGAAAGTGCTACCGAAATTCTACGGCGGCGACTACGGGTTTTTCGGCGGTGGTACAGAGGTGTTGTCCAAATTTTTCGGCGGTGACTTCGGTTTTACTGGCGGTGGTGCGGAAGCGCTCTTTAAATTTTACGGCGGCGACGCAAGGTTACCGGCGGTAGAAGTTCCACATTTAGCGGCAGGCGGACCTTTGTGTATGGAAGGTACCACTGGAGCAGAGGATTGAGGTGGCGTGAATTTTGACAACGTGGTGACGCAGTAACAGTGGAAATCAGTGGCGGTGACACTCATTGGGAAACATAGTGAGGAGGTGTTATGGCAGGTGGTTGTGGTGAAAGGAGTGGTGTGGATTATTTGTCGACGACTGGAAGACAACTGTCTCTTGACAGAGGAGCGTAATTTTATACGGTTTTCTTGAGTGAGCCGTTATTATCTTCATTTTAGCGTCACTCAAGGTCAGTTAAATTGACTCAGTTCCCTTCACACCTGAATGAACCCACACTTGCTTTGACCTGTTTCACTGAATGTTCATTGAACAAGGGAAGAGGATGTGTGTTTTTGCGTGTATGACTGGGAGTCTGACAATGGTAAAGGAATGCATGGTGGTTTGTGTGTCATTGGGTTTTGACTGCAGGTACTTCATGTGGACTGAAATGGATGAGGGTGATGACGATGAAAAAATGGTTGACTTTTTCATCTTAGTATTTGTGTACCATGTATAAATAAAAGAGAAAGAAGCCGACGAGAAACGAAGCGAGCACAAGGAAGAAAAGTTCAATTGAATTTAGACTTATCCCTGAGGTTACCCATTCTTTCCCGAATGTCCCTTTTCCCGTCTATGCCTATCAGTCTGAATGATTATATCTTTCTACGAATTCCTTTTTTCGTCCAAGTTTACTTTTGACGTTAAGCGACAAGAAAATTCTTGTCCTCCGTGTAGATGCTTTCCCTTTTTCTATGAGGCATCTGGGACGGGGGTTCGTTGCCTTTCGGGCCGACCCTGTTTTCGACTCAGAGTGGACCACTATGCGGTGGGGTACTATGCCGATTCGGTGGAGACGGTCCGACTTCTGAGATCCAAGATTTATAATCGGGCGAGGAGGAGGAGTATCCCAAACCACCTCTTAGGGTACTGGAAAAGACATTTACACGGAAGAAATTTATTTCTTGACTCCTTGCGTAAAAAGAAAACTTCTTTAGCACCCCTGTTTTAAGTGGTCATCTTAGGTACCACTAACGTATGGAGAGTTGGTGCCACAAGCAGCATGACTCATGTCTTACTAGCTGAACGGAGTACAGTTAGATACTCCTGACGTGGTTGGTCGTGTCATAAGAAGCACGGGCTGTAAGGAAGACAAAAACCGAATAATACTCGAGGGCAAGAGTTTAACTTAAAACACATTTATCTTCCTTTTTCTTTCAGATGGCTATGAGATCTACGGACTTGTTCTTTTTCAACAACCGAGACCTGGCGGAAGAAAGAGTTGAACTTCAGAGGCGTAATGGAGTAAGGGTAGAGAGGATTGAACGACTCGTTTACAACCCGTCTGAGCTTTATTCTGAGGAGGACTTTCCTCGTTTTTGGAGTGGAAGCGTGCAGAATCCTCTCAGGCGCCTTATATTTAGGATAGGGTCTGGCCTGGACATTATTCATTATAAGTTTTCACCACTATTGCCCGAACGCGACTTCGTCAATATGAACCTGGTGATATTGCAACCATATGAGATCAACCCACGGGTGGACGAAACTGCGAAAATAAGGTTGATGTTCGTTCGATACGTGCTTTGGCTAAACGATCAACAAGGGTCTTTCTTCAGTATATACTTCGCAGAACGGGTGCGAGCCAATAGGTTCGCAAAAGTAGACATTAAGTCAATATATGATGATGAATTGGAGGCCGAGGCGGAAGAAGTAGAGGAATATCTACGCGACTAATTATGACTTTGTTCTGATACGCAGATGCCTGAAGCTCGAAGAGATTTAACGATTTCGAGGTACCTGCTGGTTTGCGATACGCCTGGGGAGGATCTCATGAGGAGTGCAAAGCGACTTCTACGAGTTTGAGATGGACCTCCTACCGAATGGATCGACTTCATCGGATTGCTTCGAAATGGTGAGGGATTCTTCCCTAACACTTGCGCGGATTTCAGAGCCAACACGGCTCGAACTTTTGACGAGCTTTACGGTTATACTTTCAACAGAAAAATTGTCGCCGACTTCTAACTTATTTTCGTACCGCTGTCGAACTTATGCACGCCGCAAGGGTTGTGACCAATTGTTGAATGAGGGTCTTCTGCTGTGTTCAACTATTTATCAACATGATCAACTTATTTTCAACGGGTCACACATGCTCTCCAATAGGTTTCCAACTTTTAGCCAACCACTCCAACATGGTTTCGTACAGGCCTCCAACATGAACCAACACGTTTCCAACATGGTTTCATACCGCGGGCCGGTACTGCGACAATGCGTTTTGTTGTGGTGTTATTTGGCCCCCACTAAGGATATTATTTTTTTATCCCAGTTTTTTGTGTCGGTGTCCCAATTTCGACTACCTGGGATGTACTTGATCATTTTGTCGTGGTCGTCGACAAGTGGGAAGTGGCGTTGAACATGGTGAACTTCAGCAGACTTTGGGCATAATCTTGCCCACTGGCCAGACCACCACGATTTGAATTTGTGTGGGGTTTGTGCGCCGCTGGGGCCCCGTAAAGATATATATGTTATTAAAAGATGGGTATTTCGCTTGACGTACAACCAATGCAATTGCCTCATGAATCTGGACAGGGCGGCCTGACAACACTTTTTTTTTTGTCATTACACTATTACGGGGAACCCAGCAGCAGGCGGGCGACACAAGGCACGGGTCAGGCACTGCAATCAAAACTGAACCGCCCTGTCCCCATGTCATTGTGCCTCCTCTCAGGTCGCCTCCCCCTTTGAACATCAGCAGTCTCTTGTCAGTGTCAGTCGGGGGGACCAATGGCATATCTCAACATGGCGAGCGCCAGGCTTCGGCGAGGATGGTACGTGAGGCCAATGGGGATTGAACCCGAGACCTCCTGATATCCACTTGTCTGCCTCACCAACTGCGCTAGGCAGGTGGATCGAGGGCCCCATATCAACAGCTGGTGTGGTGCACAAGAAACGGCAGTGAAAACAAAGGCACAACCACTGTTTTTTTTGGGGGTAACTTCGGCGCAGTCACAAAAACAGTTTGTAATTGCACTTCGGGCAATCCCCCAAATACAACACCCCCCCCACGAGACCCCACCGGACCCGATACGTAGGTCATGTACATTCACCATTACCGGCCCTTTTTCCCCAAACCCTGTTACAAACTCAAACCCTGACTCTCCCGTGGTTTTGTCTTTTTTTTTCTTTTTTTTTTTGGGCCGATATCTGTGTCGATTTGTTGACGTCGCCGATGCCATTCCACAACGTGCATTCGCCACGGACTGCCCTCCTGCCCTTCGTCGCAAACCGCTGCCACTGGAGCCATCACCCCCACCACTGCCGTCGCTGCCGCTGGAGCCATCGCTAATGTTGCCGCCGCTGCCGCTACTCACTGTACCCGGCCTCGTCCAGGTGAGGTCTCTCTTGTCCTCCCACTTCACCCACCTCCACCACCTCCTCCTCCTCCTCTTCCTCCTTCTCTTTCTCCTCCTCCTCCTCCACGTCCTCCTCCTCGTCCTCCTCCTCCTCCTCCTCCTCCTCCTCGACATCCTCCTCCTCCTCCACAACGCCTCACGAACGGGGAAGTGAAAAGGAAAAAAAAAAAAAAAACGACCAAACAAACAGATAAAAAAAAACTTACCTACAACTTCTGCATATCCCCAAGTTCTGGGGTAGATTCATTCGAATTTGCTCATCCTGTAGCAGCATCCCACCCAGACTGTAGGGGTTCCAACCTCCTGATGAGTCGGTGAAAGCCCAACGAAACAGTCAAGCATACCCTCTGCAGCTCGTTCCAATGGGCGCAGAAACTGTGCTCGCGCATTTGCCCCTAACCCAGGGGTAGATTCATTCGATTTTGCTCATCCTAAGGTTGGTTTTCACAACGACGGGCCAACCTTAGGTAGGCAGGCAGGTAGGTAGGTAGGTAGGTTCTCTTCTCCCTCCCTCTCTCTCTCTCTCTCTCTCACATACACACACACACACACAAACACACGCGCGCGCGCCAGTACCTGGACGGTATTGGCGCCAGGTTCGGGCGTTTGTAGACTGCGGGGCTGCAGCCCCCTGATGAGTTGGTGAGTCAATCACAATGATTTTGGATATTTGATTGGAGCCAGCGGGGCAACCCCATTTTGTGGTACGACTAGTGGCGTAATGGTCACAGTCGGGAAAGTAAAGGCGGGATCGTACTTTTATATATTGCCAAAGGTTGAGCACTAAGTACTTTTGGGAAGGTCTTTTCAGTGTCGCACAGAAAACATAATCTTCAACAAACATGACGGCACCATGTTTGTAGCTTTGTGCGACCCGGTTTGCAGCTATTATGAAGTGGTGAAATGCGCAAATACCGGACGAACAAATTCAAGTAACCAATTAAATCCCGAATCATATACCTTTTTAGAGTCTACGAAGTTGAGGAGGGAGAAAGAGGCGATCGAAGAGGAAGTGGATCATCAGGAATTTTCATTAACATTGCCAAGTATCTCGCAGGCAATCGATTTTGCAGCAACCCATCCTACAATTGATCCGAGCCTGGTACAGGCCCTGATGGAGGTTGTGGTTGACAAAGAAGGTGCAGGAACCATGCATCTTGTTTATCGGCCAAGTGAATCTTGTATGGAGGAATCATTGCCATTGGCGCGGCAAGAGTCTTTTTTAGGGAACGGAAGCTCGGCGTTGGGTCCAAGAGGAAGTATAAGAAAGTAGGGGAGAAAGCGCGACCAGTGCTGGTTCTGATCACTCAGGAAAAGGAAGTGTATCACAAGGAAGAGCGTGAGTGGATCAGAACATTGGAAGAGAAAGGTGAGAAGGGACCGTGTCGATTGGCAAAAGATAGGGTCAAGGAAATGATCATTGGAGAGGATGACCTCCTCACTAAGGAGGAAACCAAATTTTTTATCGACGTTATGAAGAAAATTCATCTGGCTTATGTTTTTGATGATGATGAGCGTGGAAGGTTGGACGTCGATATGATTCCAATGATCCGAATCCATACGGTACCGCATGAGCCATGAAATGTGAAAGGTCCACGATATCTGAATCCGGATGATCACAGGAAGGTGGTCGATTATCTTGATGGTAAGGTTCAGACCAAAGTGACTGATTATTCGTATGGGCTGTATGCGTCTCCTTGGTTCTTCTTTATCAAGCCGAACGGTGTTTTGTGATGGGTTCAGGACCTGCAGAAATTGAATTCTGTGACAGTCCGAGATGCAGGAGGACTTCCGAACGCCGACAAACTCTCGGAATCTTGTGCAGGCCAGCCCATCATCACCTTAATTGATTTGTACTCAGGGTATGATCAGTTCCCGCTGTACACAGCGGATCGACCTATGACGGCGATGCATACGCCTCGGGGACTGCTTCATATGTGCGCGGCTCCACAAGGTTGGACAAATGCCGTGACAATTGTGCAGAGATATATGATGAGAATCATGCAGCCGCTTTGTCCGGACGTGACTTCTCCATACATTGATGATTTGGCTATCCCAAGACCTCGAGTCAAGGACGAGACAGAAGTGCTACCCGACGTTCAAAAGTTCGTGTGGGAACACATCAGCAATGTGGAAAAGGTTTTGAGGAAGCAAAACGAATATAACCTCACTGCTAGTGGGGTTAAATCGAAGCATGGTATGAGGAAGGCGATAATACTGGGTTTCCTTTGTGACGAAAAGGGTCGTCGGCCAGATGCCAAAAAGACGAACAAAATTTTGGAGTGGCCGACTCCCTTTAGATCTATTACCGACGTTCGGAGTTTCCTCGGGACATGCGGATTTTGGCGTATTTTTATTCGCAAGTTCGCAGCGAGGGTGGAACACTTGCGGAAATTAGTACGCAAGAGTCAGATCTGGCAATGAGGATCGAAGCAGCAGGCAGCCGTTGAAGATATTAAAGCTGAATTTCGGGAAGGCGGCCTGATTTTGGGAGTTCCTTGCTTTGATGATGTTGAAAACCGTCCTTTCATCATCGAGACTGATGCAGATCCTACCGCTTTGGGAGGGGTTTTGGTCCAAAAGGATGGGGGAAAACGGGAGCGACCATTGAGATTCGAGAGCAGAACTCTGAATATAACTGAGCGGAACTACTCCCAGTTCAAGAAGGAAATTCTCGCTGTGCTTCACTGTCTGCATATTTTCAGGAATTCTGTATTTCGCAGACGGTTCATTCTGCGAGTTGATCCGACGGCTCTAGCTCAATCAATGAAGAACTGTTCTCATTCTGATCCAACCATTGCTCGATGGCTGACGTATATTTGGATGTTCAATTTTGAGATTGAGCGCATTTCAGGCATTCAGAATCTAACAGATGGATTGAGTCGTGTTGATTGGGACTCATCGACGGATCAGGCTGAGGATTCAGTTCCTGTCGATGGATTCCTCGAAGGAGAAGAGTCACAGTTGAGTATTAACTCGTACAATTATTTGGCGGATGCAACAGCCCGACATGAAAAAACCATCTGGAATGCTCCTTGTTTCCATCATGTGCGATCAGAGCTCGTGATTGGGGAGCCGTTCATTAAGGAAGACCCATGGGGTGAAAGAACATCAGAGCAAATGATGAACTTGGTTTTATCTGATGAAGTCGAGTTCATCAAAGAGTCGCTGACGATTGAGTATGGGCATGAGCAGACTGATAAGAATTTCCGGATCATTGGAGAAATGTCATTCCTTATGAATTCTCTGATTCACGAGGACCGCCTGAAAATGATGAATGAAGAAGCAGAAGGCAGTGAGATCAGAGAAGCTTTCAGAGAAGGAGAGTATGATGGGGAGTACCGATTAATGGGAATGTGGTTGAATGGTGAGTTGAGGGATGATGAGGTGGATCCAACTGTTCGCCAGAAGGGCAAGGTTTTTGTTGTACGATATGGTCATCTTTTCAAGAAGTCCAACGATGGTATTCCTAAGAGAGTGGTATGTGGGGTTGCGCGACAACTTGATGTAATTGCAGCTTTGCATAATGGGGTCGCAGGCGGACATAGATCGACGCGAGTCACTTTGAAAAAGATTCAACATCTTTATTTTTGGGAAGGAATGAACAAGATGGTGAATGAATTCTGTAACTCTTGTCTTCATTGTCAAAAACGATCTAATCTGCATTTTTTTGAACCTCTTAATCCACGCTATGTCGCTGAGCCGAGAGCAGTAGTACACCTTGATCTATTGGTCATGCCCCCTGGGATAAATAGGTACATATATATCTTCAACGCAAGGGATAATCTGACTGGGTTTGTTGATGGCTGTGCCATTCGCAAACGTACTGAGCATGTTTTAGCTGAATGCATTGAGGAATATTATCTTCGGTACCCGTTTGTCCAGGAAATTGTCATGAATCGAGGTGGGGAGTTTCGGGTTGGGGAAGTGCAAACACTTTTGAACAAACTTGGAGTAAGCTTTAGCTACACTACAAAGGCACATCCCCAGGTCAATGCGCCAGTTGAGCGTGGACATGCCACTCTAACAAATTTGTTGGCAAAATGGTGCGGAGATGATCCATCAAGATGACCGATTTATCTGCAGACGACATTTTTTGTTGAAAATGTCACCATAAAGCGGACAACTGGATACGCTCCAGTCACATTGTGGTTTGGGCGTCATGCAACTTTTCCGATCGAAAGTTTTCTGACCACTTGGAGAAAACAAGATGTGAAAACGAAGCTTTCAACTGAAGAGTTATTGAAACTAACAGCAAGACAAGTAATGATTACTGAGGAAATGATTGAGAAGGTCGTTGCCTCTACTGCAGAGAGTTGACAGGACGACAAGGAAAGATGGGATAAGGGGCCTCGTGTTCGTAAGAAACCATTGGAAGTAGGGGATATCGTACTTCTTTATGATTCGTCCTTGGAAAAACAATGGTCTCGGAAATTGGATAGCCGATGGTTGGGGCCCTATCGTATTATCAGGAAATCTGAGCATGGGGCTTATGAGATCGAAGAGTTGGATGAGGCTCGAGGTAGAAATTTGGTGTCGGGATCGCATTTAAGAAAATTTATTGCAAGGACTTAATAAAAGGGTTTTTCAGTTAGAATTTATTGTGGATAAAAGAGACTTGCTTTCATTCGTCTACCTTCTTTCTTACATGGGATCACAAATTGCTGATTGGTTCTGAGGACAGACAAGGGAATTACAACTTTGGACTCTTGGGATTTGAATTTAATTTTGGGACCTATGGTTCCATGTTTTGTATAATTAATAAATTATGCGACTCCTGTTCGTGGAAGTGTGTGTTGTGGTTTTTGGATCAGAAATCTCTGTTTGGATAAATGCTTGTTACTTTTTTCGATGAAATGTGATGCAATGCAAATTTATGAATCTTTTTGGACTGGAATGTATGAAACTCTCTGTGAAAATGTATATTGTTATTTCATGTATATTATTGTTGTAAAAAGTTCTAGGAAAATGGTATGTAATTTGCATTATATGGTTTGAAGGATGACTCCGTGGGTTATTCGCAAAGGCATGTAATGCAATTATTTATCATAGCCTAGAACTTTCGTAATATTTTTAGTTATCATGTTATGATGAATCCTGATGCAGTGAGCTCTGTAGGTGGTAGTGAGGCCTACGCCGAAACTTGTTTCTGGTTCATAGTGGGATGTTGTCACTTTTTCTTTTTAAGGAAGGTGGCTACACTATCATTGAAAGAGAGGAAGGTATTGTTGTGATTGTTGGAATCTCGCTTGTAAGGGTGACAACTGCCGCTCGTCATGGGGGAAGGAGTGGTCACCTTGACCTTGTGACGAATGAGGTCGCCTCGCCTCTATGGCCGGGTCTGACCAGCTTAGGTCGTGGAGAAAGGGTAGTTCAGCCTCGCAGGTAGCGGACTAGCAAACACATGATACTGGAATCGGAGGGAAGGTGGTGAGTCTCAAGTCTAAAGCGGGGCTTGACGTCCAGATGTTATCCCTTGAGGGTTACACTACTCCTCGACGCTTATCACAAAGCATGCAGAAAAAATATCACGTGTGATGACTCGTAATTGAAATGGGATACAAAACATGGACAATGACTTTTTGATGAATGGTTTCTCTCATGAATGGTTGGTTCAGATTATGTCCGGACCGCCTAGGAGGTTATTTATTTTTGAAATACCCATCATGGGGTTAAACCTGACCCTTTTAGATAAATGAAAATATTAGCCGACCGGGGCTTAAAAGGCTAGCCGGAGGCTTTTTCCAGTATCATTCTGAGAGACTAAAATAATGTTTAGAGTTGCCGCCAGTGGGATGATGCTGGGACCATTTAGACAAAAGTTCCTTGAATATTTTAGTGATTCCAAAACTTGATCCGGTATAAATTCAGGTTTTGGTGAAAGGCTTGCCAAAGCCTATATCTGGTACCATTCTAATCAAGGATGATTGAATCATAGATTACCGAGGTGATGACTCGGATTTATATAATAAGCTTCGACTAACTTTCGATTGGAAGAAATTTTGTTAAAAAGAGTTCCATAAGAATCCAGAGAGCCCTATATTATTGATTAATATAGGGTGAACGACGGGGATGTCGTTCAATGGGGTTTGAGATTGCTGTCGAGACAAAAACCCTGACAAGGGTATTTGCCGGTGTTTTTGAATGTCGGACGTTGTCCGACTCTTGCGTTGAAATAATAGTCTTGATGAGACTGACGTCTGCCAAAAGTTTATTTTGACTTGATCTATGACGAAAAACCTAAAAAAAATTTGGGCTTTAGTCCGGACGCGTGTGACGTCCGGAGGTATCAGATGTAAACGACAAGGCTACGATTTGTCAAAAAAAGCCGCAGGAATGTGCGGATAAAGAAATGCAAAAATCAAACCTATCCTACCTACAATAATGTCGCGCGGCTGTTAAGTCGCGCGATTCAGGGCCTAAGCGGGTTAAAAAACGTCGTTGCGAATAGGTTGGGACGCAGCGTGAAGGAGCAGAGGGATTTTTTTTAGGGTCTACAGGGTCTGCGCCAGGGACGAGGGGCGATGGCGTTGGGGCCAGCTGAATAGGGCAGCCGCTGAGGCTGTCGGCTGCCGACCCTGCCAGCCAGCCACAGCAGCAAGCAGGGCATGGCAGGCACAGCCTGCGAAGTGTCGGAGGGAGGTCTGTTGGGCACCAGAGGCCCTTCATATAGAAGGGCTGCTCTTTTCTTGATGTGTGAAGGAGCTAACCCAGTAGGTACCATTGTCAGACTGTTACCCGACGGATACCAGAATCGAATATGAGAAACAACAATCACCGGGCTAGCTCCTTTTGGAGTAGCCCAGCCATTTGGCGCGACCGTTTTCGGCCGTGCGATCGGTAAGATCGCACGGCTGAAAACAGCCGTGCGGAGGTGAGATGGCCCCTGCGCAAGGATGACACGCATAAATCGGGAAATGACCCGAAAAGTCCCCGACAGGATTTGAACCCGGACCTGTTTTCCAGTGGTTCGTGGCTGTGCCACGAACAAGGAGGTAACCGTTGGCTAAGCCAACGAAAAAAGAATAATTTAAAAACTAAAACTAAACCACTACGACATGACAAATGGCGGTCTCCGAAGTGACTGGGGCACTGACCACCCCAGTACACTTAACTGTCGCCTGTGGAAACGGGCGACTGTTTTTTCTACAAGAGGTAAGTTTTTGTTTATTTTATTTTCTTAGATTTTTCTTAGATTTTTCTCTTAGATTTGTTTAGATTCTTTATTTTGTTTTTTTCCTTTCTCTCTCTCCTCGAACTATCGAAAACACCCGTTCGCTAAGAACGAACGGGCAGTGCAAGACTGTTTCGTTGGAACCTCACCAACTCATCAGGGGGCTGCAGCCCTGACAGTCTACAAACGCCCGAACCTGGCGCCAATAGCGTCCATGTACTTGAGCGCGCGTGTGTGTGTGTGTACGTGTGTGTGTGTGTGTGTGTGTGTGTGTGTGTGTGAGAGAGAGAGAGAGAGAGAGAGAGAGAGAAAGAGAGAGAGAGTGAGAGAGAGAGAGAGAGAAGACAACCTACCTACCTACCTACCTACCTTCCTGCCTACCTAAGGTTGGCCCGTCGTCGTGAAAACCAACCTTAGGATGAGCAAAATCGAATGAATCTACCCCTAGGTTAGGGGCAAATGCGCGAGCACAGTTTCTGCGCCCATTGGAACGGGCTGCAGAAGGTGTGCTTGACTGTTTCGTCGGGCTTTCACCGACTCACCAGGAGGTTGGAACCCCTACAGTCTGGGTGGGATGCTGCTACAGGATGAGCAAAATCGAATGAATCTACCCCAGAACTTGGGGATATGCAGAAGTTGTAGGTAAGTTTTTTTTTATCTGTTTGTTTGGTCGTTCTTTTTTTTTTTTTTTTTTTTCTTTCTTCTCACTTCCCCGTTCGTGAGTCGTTGTGGCTCAGCCAAACAGGGAAAGCGGGTAAATGCTGAAAGCAGGAAAAGCTGAAAACTGTAAAAAAAAAAAAAAAAAAAAAACCAGAAAAAGAAAACGAAAACGAGGCAACTGCCTCGTGGAAGAAAAAGAACAGTCCTTTGGACTGTGTGGGAGCACAAAAACTCCCACTTTTTTTTTTTTTTACCAACGTACTGTGGCCGCGAGATCACAGTACAAGCGTGGAATAGAGAGAGAGAGAGAGAGAGGGACGTGGGAGTTGGGAGGAGGAGGTCCTACTCCTCCCAACCTGCCAACTTCCTCCCCGTTTTCAGGGGAGGACAACAAAGACAAAGGAAGGGGCTGTTGCATGCAACAGCATGCACCTGGCCAAGGTAAAAGCCAGGTGCAGTAAAAATAAGGGAGTTAGTTTTTTTTTCTTTTCTTTTCTTTATTTAGTGTGAGGACACTTGTCTAAAAGCCAGGTGCAGTAAAAATAAGGGAGTTAGTTTTTTTTCTTTTCTTTTCTTTATTTAGTGTGAGGACACTTGT